CACACACCGCCACGCGAGTAACCGGCGAATCCTCGAACTCGGTTCCCGACAAAATGGCGTCTCGCGTTAAATAGTTCCACTCTGGATTTCCTATCTACTTACACTGCAGAAATCATTTTCTCACTAAAACGGCGAATGAACTAAACCACTGAACTGCAAAGTTACAAATCGTTCAAAAAAGAAATACGACTAATCACAAAATTGTATTTTATAAATTAACAACTTGGAAATTGATCATCTTCATCAATTCGGCATCGTAGTATTGAACATTTTCGAAGTTTCTATTAAAATTTCATTTGAACTCACTAAAAGGATTGCTGCTGGCTGATATAGAACACGAAAGATAGAACAGTAGCAGCCGGAGGAGCGACGATTCAAATCTAATCGCAACTTGCTCTAATTTTGTTGCGAATGGCCTGGCTACAGCACGGTCGAGGAACGAAGTTCCTCGGCGGAGATGAATATTTCGAAAATCGATTGCTCCACTGGCGTTTCGTCCGTGAAAGTCGGCGCGGTTGTACGCCCACACAGGCTCGTGTTTCTTTTTCACTTTTTTTTGTCAAGTAGCCCGCATCGCGGCCGCAGTCTGCCGTCGACTGCGGCGCGTGCACGTGTAAAACACCTTTAAAGTGCAATCGTCGGTTCGTTGACTCTGCGCCGCTTCCGTAAGCAAAGCGTTCCTGCCGAAACGGAGTTTTCATGTGCGCGACGAAACGAACGACACATGGACACACATTCACACACACCGACACGCTTTCGTCTGCTAGCCGAGGAGTCGAAAAACTAACGAACTCCTTATAGAACGATATTACCTATGGATTAACGATCAATAATCGAATGGAAGTGATTCGAATGAACGTTAACTTGTGTGGAAGAAAATTATACGGAAGTGGGTTCCACTGAATGATGCTTATTACGAGGGAATTATATTCGCACATGGTTGGTCAAAGGGTAATTCATCAAAATCGTTTTGTAGCATCGTTGGTACGCTTCGTGTACCGAGAGAATTGGTTCAGTTTTAATATAAAAATTTAATTCATTGACGAAGAGGCTGCGAATTGTTGCTAATGAACTTAGATTTCACTCGGAGTTCAACATTGAATAGAAATGAATGTTTCACAGGTAAAAATGTGGTCTTTGAAGATAGAAAACAGTCCTTAAAAGTAGAAAATCCATTTTTCTTAGCTCCTAAGTTACTACGTCCTTTTGTAATTTTCATTCTGCGAGCGCTGAAACACAGGAATTCAAGCTCGAACAACAAATAAGAGCATCAAAGAGGATCTTGCAAAAGCGAAACCGAAGAAGGAAAACGAGTTGACTCATCTAGCCTCGATCAAAGGTTGAGTCGTGCTCAGCTGTTGCTTAAAGGAATCGTCCCTTATTTGCAGTGTAAACGAGAACAGTGTCCATACTGTCGCTCATTTCCATCTTGTCAAAGAATGTCCCTTAAACATAGAAAATCAATCTTTTAATCTCCCAATTCACGAGAATCTCAAACCAAGCAACAAAGAAAGAACAATGTCAAAAGAGATCATAGAAATCCCAGATCGAATAACACATTGATTAACACGTTGACCGCCCCAATTTTCGTATAACATTACTTACCGCATCATAACCAAAACAAATCGTATTAGAATTAATTATTACTATTATTTAGTTACATTAAACATTTTAATTCGATGTCAGTTTTCTTGTAATTGTTTTCTATGGCTTTGAAGTTCTGCTCATCGGTAATCATCGTAACAGTCAACGTGTTAACAGAGGTCGAGCCATAAAAAGCTTGTGGATTACTCTGGACAAAACGGGAGTAGCGTTCTTAGACAGTGTCCATATCGCTGGTTTCCGTCTTGACCTGACACACGTTCAGCCGCGCCTTAACGAGCCCGAAACGGCTACGGCGATTTATATTCCGCGCCGGTAGGCCACGATCGAATCGTAACGGAACACGACCGCGAGCATTATGATTCTCCACGCGCGCGTTTCCTTTTTTTCCCCTCTTTCTCTCTCCCTTTCATGCCACGCGTTCGGCGTTAAAACGACGGCTGGACCACAGGAAAATTTTTCTTTCCTTTTGTTCCTGGCGTGGCACGTCTAGAGACCGGCGGTCCCCTTTGACGCTGCGAGAGAACTTCACGCGGAAACGCTTTCCGCGGAACGGCTCCTTTATTTTCCCTCTCTTGTGTTCTCCGACGTACCCATTTCGGCGTACGTGATGCGAAATTTCCACGTCTCCAACATATATTCGCGCCGAATGTGCGAAACACCGCGCGAATTATTGTTGTCGTGTCTCCGTCGCGTGGGCGTTCCTATTTTTTAATCTATTCTCTGCGTTTGCCAGCCTCTCTTGGTCACCTTTTCAGTTCTCGAGATCATTAAGGTTGCTCGCGGATTCGGAAATGCGGCGAAATCCTTGTTTTTAATAGTGCAACTGCTGGATAGACCATAATGATGTAATCTTGAATACTTCTTTTACAATGATTGAAAAGGCAACAGACACTTCTATAAGAAACAGATCAAGAAGTCGATTTAATAAGCAAATGGAATTACAAGTCAATATCTTCATAGTCACATCTCATTTAGCTCTCAATAAATTAACTCTTCAGATAAAAGTAGCGCAGGAGTCGAGGGATAGAACTATTTTATTTCAACACCTCATGTTTCATTCCATTGTATACAATAGGATATTATGGCTTATAATATAACTAAATAGCATATAACTAAATGGTTAATAGAAAATAGAAAATACTCGATGAATCCTCATCAGACCTAACACTAAAGGAGACAAGCTTGCTACCCCCGAATCCTATGTAAATTTCGCGAGCCTCGTGCGTCCATCATTCGACCGCGTCTGATCCGCCGTTGCCCGCGAATTACACGCCAGAGGATTGTCGAAGCGTTATTGCGGTCCTGTATTTAGCGTTTCGGACGGTGGCCACTTCCGGCCGGATGTTCATAAGACACTGCGCCACTCGAACCTGACCCACAGCCCGCCAACTCCGCGCCTCGGCTAGCTCGTCACATGCAAAGCATATCGATCGCTGGCAATGCCGAGGCAGGTTGCCTCCCCGCGATGCAGTGTTATCTTTTTCCCTTGTTTGTGTGCTTTTTGCGCGCGTCTGTTGATCCTACGCCGCGATACTAGTCGTTCCTCCCGTGCACGCGATTAACCGGCAAAGAAAAAACGAAGGGATAAGGCAAAAGGAGAAAAATCGGGGAAACCGACCGCCCCGGACGGTGGCCGGGCAACTCGAGCGATTTTTTTGCTTGTGGCAAGGTTCTTTTCCCTGCATCCGCCTGTTCATTAGTAGGCTGCGTAAATTCTATTAACCTTCGCCCAAGTAAATGGTCTGACAGCTAGTTGATCGATCGAACGCGACTGCCAAGGCTGATTCGTGTCGCTGGCGAATGAAGAAAAAGTGCGGCGCGAAGAAATTAGCTGCCGTGCCGTGGAATCCCGTCACGAAAAACTTCAAGATTGGAGAGAGAACTTGTATATTTTAGGATTCACGATCCTCGAGAAACAAATTGATCGCTAACGCAGGAATGAGAGAGAGTCTTGAGAAAGCAAGGAGTTCCGGGAAGCAATTATTGATGAGAATTGGAAGATTTGTTCTTTGGTACTTGAAGAAACTGCTTCCGATTCTAGCTCTTCGGTGAAGAGTCGAAGGAACTGGTTTTTCGTCTCGTTGCGTTTTAAAATTGAATTTTAACATTAGATTTACGGAACGAGTGAATTTGACTGACATTGAATTTTATGAGCCTTATTTGTTAAATGTCGATTTTTATTAACGCAGTTATGCAAATGTGTATCCTAATTGTCTACTCTTAAACCTCTAATTTCTAAGATCTAAATGAACGGATAACAATTTTTCGACGAACAATAGAACACATTGTACAGTAAATATCAGTAAATCTAGTGTTAATCGTAAGACGATAAATTTGTAAAGCTGACTAGACGTTAGTCTAAGTATAGTTCAAAATTGGAAGATTTATTAACTCTGCTACTGACTCTAATTCTTTGGTGGAGGTATAGAGGAAACGATGTTTCGTCGGAAAATGATTCCAGTTCTTTGGAGCGTGTTCTATGCTCCAAGGTTCACTACGTAGAAGCGGTAGAAGCTAGGCACGATCGGGACCGACATAATTCGCGGCAGTTGGATCAATGTTCGCTACTGGGTTAACGCTATAGCGGTCTGGAAACAATTGTACAGTCCTCTGTACGAACAAACGTCTCGTTATGCAGTCTGAAATGAAACCGGCATCGAAACTAGATCAAACGCCATTCTGATTTCATTAAAGCAGGCGGAAAGGGGCGGCGGGGGTTGGCTTGGTGGTAGAAGCGGGGCGTCGGAGGGGGTTGAAACACGGTCAGATCGAGCGTGACATTTGCTTCGTTGCTGCGCTAGTTTCGTTCGTCGTGGTACGTCTTCCGCAAATTCGATTTTCCGAGGGCTGCTTCGCGAGACGTGCATTTGCTGCCATTGTTTACGCTTGTCCGCCATTTTTAATGGGATAAGAACATCGAGTACGATAGGGAATACTGTTATCGCCATTGCAAATGAAATTCGTATCAAATCTTTATAATATTAGACGAATCCCCAGTAAACAAATATTTTAACGTTGATCGCCAAATTGTAATTAACGGAAATCTCACAAAATAGAAGTAGATAATTGTACTTAACAAAGCCAAAGAAGACTCATTAAAATGCACAAAACTTGCAGCACATGAAATTAAATGGTACATCTCGCCAAAATGTCGACATTCGTCTACAAAGGGTTAATTTCTTTACATTGCCGTGTCTTATAGATCTAAATGAAACTTTCCTTCAATAAATCACGAAAATTCATTTCTGGATGTAACGAAGAAGTTGTCACTCGAATCCCGATACCAGGTGGATAATAGAATATTCAGTAGAATCGATTCACGAAAATTTAAGAAACCATCTTGTACTTTCGACCCACCCGGTGTACAAACATTTACAAGGCTCCTTTGCTTGCAGATATCGACGAAGCGTGAGCTGTTCTTCAAAGGGGACAACGCCGGACTAATATCGTCGCCGTCCGTGCCGTCGGTGCCGCCGCCCCAGCCGCCGTCGCAGGCACCGTCGTCGGTGAGCACCTCGTCGACGACCACCACCACGACCACAACCCTCGCATCCCCTAACACCGCTCCGCCGGTCGCCTCGTCGGTCTACACGAGCGTAACATCGTCCGCGGCACCGATCACCAAGCCCAGGCTACCTCCGTCCACGGTGATCCTCAACCAGAACGATGCCACCGAGATCGACAGCAACAAACGGGACTCGAACAGGACCAGCAACGACACGAACAAGGAGGCCTCGGTGCTACATCATCCGCGGCCGACCCCGCCGACCAAGCCCAAAGAGCTCGACGGCTACGTGGGCTTCGCGAACCTGCCGAATCAGGTCTACAGAAAGGCGGTTAAGAAGGGTTTCGATTTCACCCTGATGGTAGTAGGTCAGTGTCCGCTCGGCCATGCGAATTCGCCTTTTGTCTTAACGCTAGAACTACCGAATGAGTCAAACTAACCTATTCCTGAATTCTTTCCTAATTATTGAAAAGATAACAGAACTTTCAGAAATAGTTTAGTACTGTGCAAGCTGAATCATAAGTCGATTGGAATCTCAGCAGCTGCACTCTTAGGGTATCTATAGACAAACCTGGAAAAGTCAGTTTGACTGCACGGTAGTTAGTGTTAAAAGTTTGCGCGCCGTTTAGGAAGAATAGAGATAAGATATAGTTAACGTTATTGATTGTATTTCAAATGAACTGTAGAATTAAAGAACGAATTGCAGAATTGGAGAGTTATCTCCAACAATACATTATCTTTCGTTTGCCGGGTGAGAACTACGGAAATAGGAGGTAGTGTTTAAGAATTCCTGTTAATGCGCTTCGGTTCTATCGCTGTCGTTTTAATTGGATTGGTGATGTATTCGTACACGGTATTTGATAAGAACGCTATTCTAAGCGGAACAATTTTTGCGCAGCAACGACGAGTGACTATTATCACGACGATTAGCCGGCACATGTATTACTTGGCGAAGCGTAGTAGAGTTTTTTTAAACGGAGTGAGTTGTGTGTGACGATTATGACTTCTTTTCCTTGTTTATATCTTTCTCTAATTTGATTTTCTGCTTATTCTTGATCGAGAATCGTTTCTATCTCACCGTAGATTAACTTGTTGATAATTTACCAATAAGTGTAGGTCTTGAAGAACGTCCCTGTTTTTCGAGGGTCAAAATCGTCCACTCGGCCCCGCGAAGCCGTGTGCTCTGTTTATTTTAAACTGAATTCATTTTCGCATATATACTGGAACGCGGCGGAATTGCATCGCACGACGTCCTGCGACTCCCTTCATTAACGTCCATTGTGTAAATGGACGTACAATGGCCGTTTGTGTTTTTTTTCTTCTCCGAGCTTCCCGAGATCGAGAGACAAAGAGATCGCCCTCCCCCCACCGCCCCTGCCCGGTTGGTATTTCAATTTCGTCGAGGATATTGCCTTATGAACTTCCATCTGCTTAACACGTGCAGAACGCTCGTTTCACCCGGCTGGATTAGGGCTGTCTTCAAGTAGCAGGGGTTCTCATTTGCATTCCCCGTCGTTCCTTGTAACTCGTTAACCCCTTGCTTTAGGATTCCTTCAGCAATTTACCTCGTTGGAACTATTTGTTCATTAACTCTTTCCACCTGAAAGTTGTTGCCATGTATATATGTTCATTAATTTCTAATAAGGCATTGCTTAAATCATTGTAAAATAATTTAATCTTATTAGATAGAAATGATAGATGGATCAATGAATAGAACTATTTTGTTTCAATGTTTCATGTCTGATCACTACATTATACAAAATATGATACTGAATGCTGAATTTTATAGTTTTGTTATGTGAAAGTAAACGGTGATTGTGAGTCAGCTCTCGAGTGTGAAGGGTTAACGATCTACTAGAAACAAAAAGGAATTCCACGGTTACCCGATGGCTATATTTACTCCGGAGATTGACAGTTGATGTAATAATGTAAAAATTGTTCCGCGAGTCGTGTATGTTTATATTGGCAGTGTCAGGGGACAATGTACAGAGCAAGTTCATCGTTCTCTTCGGCGTTCCCTGGTACCGTTGATCCCGTAACGACGGGCACACTGGCGCGAAAGTTATCGCGACGAGCACTGGCCGGTATGAAAGTTTGAAATTTGAGAATATAGGCGGTCTGCGGCTATTATTAGCGCCGTTATAAACAGCGCCGTTTCTCCGCAAATAGAGCAATTGAAGTGCTTAGCCTTGGGAGAGAGAGAAGGCGCGGCACTTTAGACAGTTCAAGGTACGCCAGCCGAAAGGTCAGGGCACCGTTTGGTATTTAGAAATCGTGCCCCAAAAAAGAAGGGAACGACTGGACCCTCGGTGGACTGCGGATTTTATGCGTCCGCGGAGCATACTAGATTGTCAAGAATTCAATTCTGCAACGAATTCTAAAAAATGCAACAAATATGCAACGATTTAATACATACAATATTATAAAATTTCATATTTAACCCTTCGCACTCGAGAGGTGACTCTCAGTCACCACTTTATTTGACACAGCAAAACTATACAGTTGAATATTTAGTATTTTAAATTAGACCTTGCTTTGTTGCTTAATTTATCTGTGAATTATCGTTAAATTAGTTTCAAACCATGTTGGCTGTAGCTCGTCGGAAAATGTTGAATATTTCCTGTGCAAAAACTTTCGAATGCAAAGGGTTAATATTAAGTTCTGCATAATACATCAATACGTGAAATGTTCGTCTATATTTCATTAGAAAATGTTGAATAGAAAGGGTTGATCTTGATAGAATCATTTAATATCATGAGCGAATTTAATTATTGTCATTGTAGAACAGTCTACGAAAAAGTTATATTTGCATCATGGTTCTAACGGTGACAGTGCGGTTGCATTTTAAACTTTTGTTTTGTGTACGTTTTCAGGGGAGTCAGGACTAGGTAAATCAACTTTGATCAATTCAATGTTCCTCGCCGATATATACAGCGCAGAGTACCCGGGTCCCAGCCTTAGGATTAAGAAGACTGTAGCCGTAGAGACTAGCAAAGTGTTGCTGAAGGAGAACGGTGTGAACCTCACATTGACTGTTGTCGACACACCGGGTTTCGGCGATGCGGTTGACAACAGTAATTGGTAAAATATAGTCTCATTGTTTATAATGAACTGCGACAATTTTATTCAGATACTATAAGAGATGCATCCTCGTTGCAGTTGGGTGCCAGTGATCGAGTACATTGAGTCAAAGTATGAGGAGTTCCTGAATGCCGAGTCGCGGGTAGTCAGAAGACAGATACCGGACAGTCGTGTCCATTGTTGTTTGTACTTCGTTGCACCCTCGGGTCACGGTTTGAAGCCATTGGACGTTGAATTCATGCAGCGTCTTCACGACAAAGTTAATATTATACCTGTCATTGCGAAAGCAGACACCATGACACCCGACGAATGTGCTCACTTCAAGAAACAGGTATGTACCTTGCCATTTCCAAATTAAGATTCATGCTGTATAACTTTCTCTTTATATGTGAATATAGGTCAGCTTCCATTTAAATGTGCCAAACGTCAATTAACACGTTGACTGCCACGAGAATTTCTAGCGTTTTAAATAGTACAAACAAATAAACAAAAGCAAAAGAGATTGAAAATAATTATTAATGATTCAATATTACAGTCGTATTACGCTATGATCTAGCTACTTGTGTTACTGAATATTTTTATTTAAAATCATGTTTTGTATTGTAATTGTTCTTCAGCAATTTGGAAACTCCGGTGATCAGTGATCACCGTGGCAGTTAACGCGTCTCCATCAGCAAAATCAAAACTTTTATTTTCGTTTCTTTTTAGATTTTGAATGAGATAGCGCAGCACAAGATCAAGATCTACGAGTTCCCCGAAGTAGAGGAAGAGGAGGAGAGTAAACTGCACAAAGTTCTTAGAGATAGAGTGCCATTCGCAGTGGTGGGAGCGAATACCGTCGTTGAACAGGACGGTAGGAAAGTTCGCGGAAGAAAGTATCCTTGGGGAGTCGCAGAAGGTGTGTTTTGATGAATTTAAAATCGACTTGGAGTATGATAGTATTTTCTTCTTTTATATTATTATTTTTTTAAACTTCGGAGCAACTCATGTTCGTTTTCCTTCAATAGTGGAGAATTTGGAGCACTGCGATTTCATCGCTCTCCGAAATATGGTAATCAGAACGCATTTGCAAGATTTGAAAGACGTAACGAACAACGTGCACTACGAGAACTTCCGGTGTCGCACATTGGCGGGCGTCGGAGTGGATGGAAAGCCGACGAAAGTCTCAAATAGGTAAGCGTATGCAATATTCAATTCGTACCTAAGGCAAACATTGTATACGTCCGTTGAAAAAAATGATACCATTAAAACATCGTTTTCATAAATTAAATATGCGCATTCAGGTAATCAATAAATACAGAACAGATACAATATGAAAAGTGTAACACTATGATGGTCCTGTAACAACTTGATTACATCAA